AACAGAGTCGCTTGACAGACACAGTGATGAAGCTGGTATGTGTTTGCACCACGGTTAACACGGTTAAGACAGCTTACGTGCTATGATTTCTGACAGGCAGTTCACTCTCCTGTGATGTCCCCTCACACCGTTACTCTGCGCTGCGCAAAACTCCGCATTTGAACAGTCAATAGCAAATACTTAAACTAATAACAAAACATACTTACAGTCGCTGATTCAGAAGCGCCAGATTGTCATAGCAAAGTCGGAATTGACCCTTTTTTTTTTTTTTTAGAAATAGCCTTTGTGCACAGCCAGCTTTGTACTCTTCTAGGTTCAAAAAACTGTCGTCCATAAAATGCGTTGCACAAATTCGAACATCTGGGTTGTGCTGTTCTGTTGTAAATAAATCTTTACCAATGATTCCTAATTGCATCTACTTCTGGAAGGCCAAATAAAGTGCTTTTGCACTTTTGCATCAACACTACTGCTGTTCCTGAAACCACGCCTTCTTTCTTTGCGTGCACGTTTGGGCGGCATTATGCTAATATTTCCACATTTTGACGTAGATATGTGGGGGCGTGTTAGAACGAGGCGTTTTAGGTAGGTGTGGTTGACTCTTAACTTTTATAAAGAATATCTCTTTGGATTTGAGACTTTAGTCTTTGCAACTTTACAGATCTTCTTTATGCACCAAGAGCTTGTAACACTCCAAAGAGAAAGGAAAACTTGAAATCGCATCATATGACCCCTTTAAGGTATAATTTTATTAACTTGTGTAATGTTTTTAAGTTTGTCACAAGGTAGCTCCACACTATGCTCGTTGGAAGCAGTGTCATAAAATGATGCATCACGCTGAAGTCGGGGTTGATCAATCTTCCCCGAGTTCACAGGTCGGATGTCCGACTTCAAGTGGTGTTCTAGAGGTTATTTCCAAGTAGGAGGTGGGAAAAATTCAAATATCGAGTTGGAACGCAGCATGAATTCTAGTCAATCATACTTCACGCCATCACACAACGAGAACATTTCAAGTTTTCATGTCAATTATGGCTAAAACAGAAAAAGATTAACGTAAAATGCTGCTGTTTGCTTTAAAAACAGCTGACAAAATGCAAAAATTAAGGTATTTTATAAACTTAATGTGTAATGTTTTTAAGTTTGATATGCTCGTTGGATGCAGTGACATCAAATGACATGTCGCTGAAGTCGGGGTTGATCAATCTGCCCAGAGTTCATGTATAGTTAACATTTTAATAATGTTAAAATAATACTGTATTTACTGCACTTTTGCCAAGGGTATACAGAGAAAAAAAAGAAAGAAAAAGAAAAAAAAGAAAGAAAGAAGAAATTCATTGAGTACATCACAAAAAGAATGCACCACCTAATTTACCTTAATCTTTTACATCAAGCTAGATGCATGTACTATAACTGTTTTCAAAACATCCTCGTCTGAAAAGATTATAATTAAGTTGAAAAATGGGTGTTCTGAAATGGTTGGACCTACTAAATCTGGCAGCAAACCTGTAAACCCAGGAAGAGCACTTCTTCTTTTTCCAAATGCGAATATGTTATGTATAGAATCTCTTTAAGGCACTGAAGCAAAAAATGGCTTGTTTAAGTTTAAAGATCAGAGAGAGGGTGGAAAACACTCATGCAAAACTGTTTTTAGTCTAACAAATCTAAGTGACTTATTTAGACTATATGTAAAAAAAAAAAAAAAAATTGTTTTATTAAATCTAACAAAAAAATGAAAATATTAAATAAAAAAAATTAAACCAATAAAACTATAGACACCAAATTTAGTTCTGAAAATAACTCTTTATTTCCTTCTATATTCGTAGCAGTTTAACACATATCAGTGATACGCCTCATGCTCATGAATCTCATGTTGCTGTATCCCATATCTCTGAAGCTCCTGTACTCTCCAGGTCTAAAGTAGACCATCCTGCCTCTGTACTGGGGCTGCTCATACATGAGCCAGTGGCCATCCATCACATGACAGGACTGGCAGTCAGACATACGGTAACGTTCCATGATATTGTCACAGTCATCCATCAACTCATACATCTGTCCTCCGAAGTTGTCCCTCTCGTAGATCCTCATTCTGAAGGATCCTCTGTACTGTAAAACAAAGAAAGATTTATTCGAATATAATCATTATTTAGCAGTTTCTCGGCAATGCATGCATAGTATAGTATAATATCATAAATAAAGTGTGCATTACTAAATCTACACAACACTGTAAACAAAGTGAGAGCCGTACTGGAGGAATCATGCGGCAGGATCTGATAGTGTCGAACATCATGCCCATGCTCATCATGCGCTGCATGTCATGGTTCTCGCCCCTCCTCAGGAAGAACTGGTTCCCCATGTAGCTGTTGCGCTCATAGACCATGAAACAACCGCTCTCCACCCTGATTGAACCAACGCGGCTCAGGTAAGAGGAGATATCAGAGCAGTCGCTCATGCAGTCATAGCTGCGCCCCTGGAAGTTCCTGTCCTCGTAGAAGATGACCTGTTGGTGGGATTGAAAATTCAGGTGATTTAAAAAAAAAAAAGCCTTTTAGAACTGAATTGAATTGAATCATGTTTGTCTTTAGTCTTTAAATAAAAACTGGATGCAATATGAACTTAAAGCTTTCTATGAAATATTAAGCATACTTATTTCAAACAAATTACCTTGCCCATGATGGTAGTGTGTTGTTTATCTCAGTGCTTCAGCTCACTGCTGTACTTTGATGGCCTTTGGTGGTGGTTTTTATACAAAAACCAGGGGCCCACATTTTGTTGTTATTCAAATGCGAGAAGCTGATGATCAAGCAGTATGACTTCTGCTGAAGTGGTCCAGTAAACTGAAACAATAGTTTTTATCCATACATCTCTGGCAGCTGTTTGTGCATTGTCTTTTACAGTATTGGCAAGACTATAGTCAAATCCAGAGCGAATGTTCTTTCAATATCACAAGTGACATATTCATGCAAAGTATACTGTAACATGTCTCATTCGAACGTATAACTTTCGGTGCATGTGACTCCAACTAGAGACAACAAGTGTGCTACCAAATCATAAAATAATTTTCAGAAATGTGTAACTGCATTTGCAGTTTCTTGTAATTATGCATGTGCTATTTTTCAATGTGCTAAACATTTTATTTATTGTCACATATTTAAATGTTGCACTGGAAAATTCTATTTTCTGTTTCCTCCAAACCTACATGCACATTACAAGCATGATTGCTACTGCAGGGAGTAATTCAGTTTACCTGGTATATAAGCATTAAATTAAGCATGCAAAATTTTATTTTTGTCCTATTAAAATAATACGTTTTATGAAAATAATGAATATTATTATCGGACATCTGAAAAACAGTATTTAGCAATTAAGGTTAGAGATGTTTGAAATGGCATTATCCATTATTTATATACCTCAATAATAATAATAATAATAATAATGTGTTTATTTTGTGTGGTTTTTTTTTTCACCTAGTGCAAGCATTTGATATATTATATATTTTGTCATTTTCATGCTTTATCTGTTTGACAACAGAATCTCACAGACCTGTAATCTATTTTGCTTATCCAGGTAAATATTTTCCTGTACAATTTTATACAATGTCTTGCTATATGCTATATTGTACGGTGGCCGAGAGAGCTCGTGTTTTTTCAATTTGCATGTTTTCTTAAGTTGCAGTGCGTTGAGCTCTCTCGGCCACCGTAATATTGACATAAATGCAGTTTTGTATTGTTATTTTTGCTTTTTGTTAAGATTTGTAAATGTGTAAAAATGTTTTTAAAAAATCAAAGTGAGAAGGTGAAAAAAGCCAATTCATTCTGTTATAAGAGACTGATTTAGTGCTGAGAATTCAGTAAAATTGGAGTACTTTATTATTACAAATATCGTTTTATTTTTATCTCTTTGTTTGTTTTTTAATGTCCAGGCACAAGAAGTGAAAAATCTTATAAACAGGAAATGAACAGTTCATATAAATAAGTGCAAGCAGAATGGCTAATAATCAGTGACTCGTCTGAAGGAGCCCACAATGGCACAGGTAGCACACCAGTCTCGGTATCTCCTGTATTCCCCAGGTTTCAGGAAGTACTGCCTCCCTCTGTAGTTGGGATATTCATAGAAGATCCAGTAGCCATTCATCACATTACAGGAGTACACATGTCGATGGTGGAAACGATCAGACACACAGGGGCAGTCATCTGTGAATTCTATCATATGACCTCCGTAGTCAGCCTTCTCATAGATCCTCAGTCTGTATGGTCCCCTGTACTGTTGACGTCAAGACGCAAATGAATGATTCAGTACACTGGTGTCAAAGAAACCGTAATATAAGTATCTCCACAAAAGGAGCACATTCAGTGAAGCTCACCATTGGAATCAGGCGACAGGATCGAATCCAGCTACTGAAGCCCATCCATCTCTGGTAGTCAGAATACTCGCCTCGCTTCATAAAATACTGGTGGCCCATATAATTTGGACGTTCATAGATCATGAAACAGCCACTCTCTACTCTGATGGAGTTGCAGCGACTAAAGTAAGTGTGCAGGTCTGTGCAGTCATTACTGCACTCATAACTACGACCTTGAAAATGTTTGTCCTCGTAAAAAACAATCTGAAAAAGCCAACAAAATCAACACTTTGTTTTAGTGCAGAGATTAGGAGAATAATCCATCAGCGTCAAAGTTTAGCATACATAGGGGAGGTGCAATTCAATGTAAATGTCATGAAAGTGGTGCCAAAAATCCTACCTTGCCCATGGTCTCCGTTGGAGAGATTCCATATGCTTCCCAAGCTTTTTATACTGCCTCTTGACAAACAAAGTATTGTTATTCAAATGAATACAGGAATATGTCAGAGTACTGGCACATGTTTACCTTTTTGTTAGAGCACAATATTGGGTTCAAAAATATGGATTTTACTTGAAAAAGGATATATAATTACATGTTTGGTGTTTTCTCTTACATGGTCCAGGGAAAGAACTGGTACGGCACCCACACATTCACAGCACAATGCACACAGAACAATATGGAACATCCCTTTTGCATTAAAGAAGTTGTTCAACAGAGGGAGCAGTTACTGAGATTCCATACTCAACAGTATTGTCAACTGAACTGAATTTTCCAATAAATTCTTACATATGAAAAAGATAATTTAAAGAGAAAAGTCCTATTCATCATTTCAGAGTTAAGTCAGCTGTGTTTTGGGGATGTTACTTGAACATTGTCTCTGATATTCAAATGTCAACCTTTGATGTGCTTCATGCTCTAAAAACCATAGATATTTGTTTGTAAAAGCAACAAGCTAAAGACCCAGTAAAAGGCCCACATACAGTTTTTGCTATTTTGTTGCATGTAAAAGAAAAGAAAAAAATGTTGTTTATCAGCAAAAGCAGAAGTTTTCACTGTACAGCAAGTTTGTCCAAAATGTTTCTTTAACATGGACATACATATTATTTATATGCTTTTTGTAAATGTCTTGTGTGTGTAGATATAAATAGCCTTAATATTTAAAGTGGCAAAAATACTACAGTAAAACGTTTAAAATGGAAAATAATAAAAGACAATACAACCATCTTTTATAAGAAGGCCTCTTACTGCAGATACACCAAAAAAGCAAGCAAGCAGTATTTAATTTAATGTTTTTGTGATACCATGAAGCATTATATGACTCTGTGTGTGCAAATAGTTTTTTTTTTTATCTTAAAAAAATTTGTATTTTAGGAAGAAAAATGACCACTTCATCGCAAAGCCATACATGGGTGAATACAGATTAAGTAGAACACTATCTGAAAGTACTACTAAACTAGAGTCATCTATCAAGTTCCATTAGCAAAGAAACAACAGCCATGACAAAAGATCAGAAATGTACCTGTATCCATCCAATTAATACCACAACATAATTACTTACTTAACTATAAATCCAAATGACCTAAGATCGATTTTGTCTTCTTATTCAGTCGTCTTCAAATTATGAAGTTGCGTGTCCATCACTGAATATGTGTTTAGGAGCTATAATTTATAGCTTGTATTTTCACTTTTTCTTGTAATTTGGTATTGGATTGTCACTTTGTACGACTAAAACATGCATGTGGATTAAAAACATCCTCTAATTTCTCTGAGGTCAATGTGCCTTTAAATAGCGGGGCTGCTTTTGTTTTTGACAGTCATGGTAGAGAGAGATTTAACTACAATGAGGGCAGTTAATCCAGATTGAGCCCTGCATTGTTTAGCCAAAAGCATAAACTGTGTGAGAGACAGTTCGCTCTCAGTTTTGCTTTACCAATGAATGTTTTCCAGTCTGGTAACCAGATTTGCAATAGAAAATGTCACTGATAGGTCAATTAAATGTGGAACAAATAGTTCTTTATTCTAATAATAAATAGACTTTTTCTGTTATTAATTTCACACGAAAACACTAGAACAAAAATAATAACCCGACTTTCTGTTATTAATTTCACATAAAAACATTAGAATAGAATTAATAACCAGACAAGCAAAAGTTTCAGTCAAGAGATTTTATTTAGTGCATATGTTGTTGCACAATTTATGTTGTCTAGTTGAAAGAGGTTATTCTCCTGAGGGACCCGATTCTTGGGGCCGTTCCTCCCCAGTCGCTGTACTTCTTGTATTCACCTGGTCCAAGGTAGTACATTCGTCCCCTGTAGTTGGGCTGCTCATACAGAAGCCAGTGACCGTCCATCACGTGACAGGAGTGGATGTCAGATGTATGGAAGCGGTCCATGATGTTAGGGCAGTCTTCCGTGACTTCTACCATCTGACCTCCCATATCAGCCCGGTCATATAGCCTCATTCTGTAGTTACCAGCATACTGCAAGAAAACATGGATTTGGGATATATTTAATCAACACATTTATTATTTCAAAGAATATCAAAAGTGTGTTTCTGAAGTCTAAAGCATTCTATTTCTTTGATCTGATGAACTAGTGCATGGCTGTTTTTTTAACAATGTTTATTTGCTAATTCCCATAAATCACTTACCATGGGGATCATCCGGCATGATCTGATACAGTTACTGAAGCCAATCATGCGCTGACAGTCAGAATACTCGCCCTTCCGCAGGAAGTACTGCTGTCCCATATAATTTGGGTGCTCATACACCATGAAACACCCACTCTCTACCCTGATGGAGTTGCATTGGGTAAAATAGGGGTGCAGGTCTGCACAGTCACTGCTGCACTCATGGTATCGGCCCTGAAAGTTCCTGTCCTCGTAGAAGATGATCTGTTAAAGATAAATGGTATAATAAATCTACTATACAATATATGAAATAATGTGAACTTGCAGCTGTAAAGTGGCTTCATGTTATAGAGTTGAAAACCATTATAAGTCTATTAGTCTATGAGAGTGAGAGATGCCATCTTACCTTTCCGATAGTCATGTTGGCATCTAGCAGAGCTAATGCTCGACACTGGCATTCAGTTTATCACAGTCTTTTATAAAACCTAGAAGCTGCTCTGTGATTGCACAGCATAAAGTATTGTCATTCAAATAAATCTCGCCCAGGGAGAAAGTAATAGGGGCTAGAATCAGGGGGGGCAATGAAACAATCTGATTATGTTTGGCTTGGCCCTGGTGCAGTTTTTCCATATTCATCTAAATGCCCCGTCCTGCTTGCAGAAGCTTCAGTCTGACTGCAATCAGCACAATAAATCAATGTAAAAGCAACAGGTCTTATACTGAATCAGTTGAGTAATGGATGGTTCATTTAAGTCTGGATAAAGCTGCAATATTATTATATGATTCATCTTATATAATGACCAAACTGAAAATACCAATAAACTAACATGAAAGTGGAACATGAAATAAAAAAGAAAACATTGTGCTCATTTATAAGCAGTAGTATTTAATTAGTCTGCTGTAAGTATAGAAACACAGTTACATTATGAATAATATACTGTCAAATGTTACATAAAACATTCTATGAGTCAAAAATAAGCAAATATATAGATTTAAAATGTATAAACATTTATTTCTGAGGTAACATATAAGAGCATTTGAAGCATAAAGGCTACATACTGTAAGTTGTTATTCAACATGATTGCCTGTGTTGCTTAACATGGCAGACCTATGTTAAGTAATAGAAGCAAATAATTTTAAGTTTGGTGTGTGTGTGTGTGTGTGTGTGTTAACAACAGTGTTTATTACATTAAAAAATAAACAAACATAAAAAAAACCTGCTAAGCAGCCTGCATGAATGTTAATTCTAGTTATTGATGATTCGTTTGATGGAACCCACATGGGCACTCAAGCCTCCCCATTCAGTGAATCTTGTGTATTCTCCAGGCCTCATGAGGTACATCCTGCCTTTGTAGTTGGACTGTTCAAAGAAGAGCCAGTTTCCACCAATCACCTTGCAGGAGAATATGTGGTTTGTTTGGAACATGTCCATGACATTTGGACAGTCCTCCACTAGAGCCATCATTTGACCTCCACACTCCATTCTCTCAAACAGTTTCACCTCATGAGAAGATCCCTGTGTCTGGTAGAGAGAAGAACAAAACATGTCTAAATCAACTACTATCTTAATACTATCTCATTTTTCACTCATTCCTGACATTTAAAAGAATGTTTAGAGTGATAAAAAAGTTAACTTTATCATTACTTCCAATGTAGCTCACTCAAGCATATAGTATAATCACCATGGCCATGGGAATTTCACGGCAGGAGCAGACGCAGTCATTTTTGCCCAACCAGCTTTCAAAGTCTGGGTACTTTCCTTTACGGACCAAGAATTGCTGGCCTTTGTAATGTGGTTGTTCATAGATCATGAAGCATCCACTCTCCACCATGATGGAGTTACAGCAGCCAAGATAGCAGAGCATATCTGCACAATCACCACTGCATTCATACTGATGACCCTCAAAATTCTTGTTTTCATAGAAAATTATCTGTTAAAAAAAAGAGAGAGAAGACAGTCCATATGCATGCACAGTTTACAGGAAAACCAGTGTAAATATCTTGAATATAAGGTAAACTATATTTTTGTATGACTTTCTCACTTTCCTTACAGTATTGATTTACCTTCCCCATTTTCGACAGCAGTTGTGCCATGTGAGTGTGACGCGCTATGGTATATATATAGTGTCATATAATTTCAAGGTTAAAACTTTGCCAAGATCAACGTTACCTCTCTTTTAAGAGCTTACAAATTATCATAATTGTGTTAACCCGTGGCCAGGGGGAAAATACAGATACATAGTCAGTTTGTTTAAATATACTGAAATCACGGCTCGCTGGACGACCCTTGATTTAAAGTGTAACACAACAAATTTGAAATCGGTTTAATCAGGTGGACTTGGGATATTCAGATCCGAGTCCTCTCAAAACCTGAATGAATTAATAATAATTAATTCCCTACAGTTAAAATTAAGTAATCAAAGTCATTACAATATATACACACACGAAGTGTCGACACTGTATGTGTCATTCATATTATAATTACACACACAAAAAATGCTTTTTTGCCATTTGGTTTTTAAAAGTTTTGTTATAATTCTTTTGTTAAAAATATTGTCAGTACTGCCATTTTGTGAATAAATGCAGTAAAAACAAAAAAGAAAAAAAAAATTAGGCTGTGATCACATAATGAATAGATGAAACGCAGAAAATCATTATTTTCTGTCATATAAAATCAATATCAATACCCAATATCCAATAAGTCATGATAAATTGCTTGTAAGTTCCATGTAAGACTTGTCATGTGATATTAACTTAAATATGTGAATTTACAATAGCCAGTTGTGTGGAAATGATTAAAAAACATATTAATATGAAATGATTACTTAAAAATTATTTATAGAAATTATTAATATGTTAAATGTAAGTGTATGCATTTAAATGTATGCATGTATTTATTAATTAATTCACGTTATTGATTATTTAATTTAATTAATATTTATGGTATTATTTCTTTTGGATACATTATATTACATGATATGCACACACACACACACACACACACACACATATATATATATATATATATATATATAAACTGTATTTTGACTATATAATATATTTAATATATTCTGTATATACTTTACACTCTAATAAATATGTTTTATTACTCTTTAATCCATAGCAATTTATTATTCACTTACAACAGGGTTTACCTGAACCAAACTTTGTCTAAGTTGAACCCCATATTTACATGGTTATAACAGTCCTACTTTTTAATGTTTATCTATATAAACATTGTATTAGACATAAGCCATATTATTTTTAAGCAAGTTTTCTACACTTCATCTGTTTATCATTAGTTATTTACCATGAGTTAGCATTAATATACAGCACAAGCAGATAGAACGCTTGAAACCTGTCTCATGGAGGAAAACGTCTCTACAGTTTTATTCAGTTCTCCGAACAGTGTCAAGCAGTCTGGCAGCCTATAGCATGAGTCGTCATCAGGCAGGGACTCCTCCAGGTAGAGGGTGCAAGAACAAAACTCAAGACACTTGAGCACAGACACCATTTTATTTAGTGTGTGAAAAAGGGCATACAGCAGACATTTCACAAGGACTCCTTTCATTAGAGATCCATGATTCGTCTGATGGAGCCTATCCTCGAACTCATGCCGCCCCAGTCACTGTACTTCCTGTACTCGCCAGGCCTCAGGTAGAAATGCCTGCCTGTGTAGTTGGGCTGCTCATAACCAAGCCAGTGACCATCCATCACATGGCAGGAATGGAAGTCGGACATGTTGAAGCGATCCGTGAGGTTGGGGCAGTCGTCCTCAAGCTCCATCATCCTGCCACCCATGTCCTGGCGCTCATAGAGCCTCATTCTGAAGGGCCCACCATGCTAATGGGTACCAAAAAAAACAGGAAGTTAAGGCTGAGTATTTAATTTCAATATGTTAAAACAAGAACATTTATAATTCAGATAACAATTAACTTCAGTCTTTACCACTGGGATCATACGACAGGATCTGACGCAATCATTCATTCCCATCGTACGCATGTAATCAGGGTACTCTCCCCTTCTCAGAAAATACTGGCGTCCCATGAAATTGGTTCGGTCGTAGACCATGAAGCAACCGCTTTCCACTCTGATGGAGTGACAGCGATTGAAGTAGGAATGCAGGTCAGCACAGTCACTCATGCACTCATGATAACGACCGCCGAAGTTCCTATCCTCGTAAAAGTTAATCTAGAGGAAACATTTTACATAATGAGAGCAGCACAATAATAATTCATATATGGCTAATTCGTTATTCTAATTCGTACAGACCTTTCCCATGTTTGTGTAGGCTTTGAACTTTTTCCTATGTGCCAAATACTGCTGGAACTATAAATATATATCCAAGAAAATAATGGTACTATTGTTTGTGTTGTCATTTAAATCGCAGTGTACTCATGTCAGCAGAAACTGTACAGGAATATTGCAAACATGGACAGTTTTACCCCAAACAATCACTTTGATTGCCTCTGTAAAAGCTGCTGGAAAGGTCTGGGAATAACAATAGTGTTATTTGTCTGCATTTATTTTAACATTACATATCACAAGTCTGTTTATATGTTTAAATAAGAACATTTAATTGTAACTGAAAGGTTTTGTTCTTGAAATTGTGAAATGCCTTTAGTATAGCCGATAGTGGATGTTTATGAGGAAATCTATTCAAGAAATATTTGTATGTAGTTTTGTCAACGAAAGTCCCATTGCCATGATCTATCTCACTAACAAGTGTATTGCAGCAATTATTCTAACTCTTTATCCAGTGTAAGATGGCTACCTAATTAAAATAAGGCCTAACAGAAGACATCAAGGCTTTGTCAGTGACTGAATATGTTACCAGAATGAAAAGTTCTATGTGATTGCCAATAGAAAAGTTGAGTTTGTAGGGATCAAAACCTTTGTTACAATGTTATGGTGGCTTCCTACTGTCCATACTGTATATAATTTCTTTGGCGTCTAAAACATGCTATAAATTGATATTGATATGTAATGCCTACAGTGTATTTTTAAATCATTTACACTGGAAAACATAAGGGAATACTAATCGTTTAGGAATTAAAGCTTCTTCCCACAGATGCCATACAGCCTGAAATCTATATATGTTTGATCATGGACAGCTGTAGTAATCAACACACCTGCAGCATGAATACATACACTGCCAAGCATTTGGCTTTGTGACATTTTATTGACAAGTTAATGCCAGAAAAGACACAATTATTTTCATAATGTGAACTCTAAAAATCAGTGATCCTGCGGAAGGAGCCAATGGTGGCACACATGGCACCCCAGTCACTGAACTTGCGATACTCGCCAGGAGGCATGAAATACTGACGGCCTCGATAACTGGGGTGCTCATAGAAGGTCCAGTAGCCCTCCATGACATTGCAAGAGTGAACGCTGCGGCACTGGAAACTTTCATGAATGGACTTGCAGTCATCACTGAATTCCATCATCTGACCTTGGAAATCTGGCCGATCATAGATCCGGATGCGGTAGGATCCATCACTTTTCTGCAAAACATTTCAAAATATTTTTTAAATAAAGGTTTAAATGGCTTAGAGTTTGAATGTCTGCAAAGAAAATGTGTACAACAACACAGAATGCAAAAGATTTACACAGCATGGATACTGAGAACTAGAGTTTTCTGTGGCAGAACAGTGAACAACAAAGATGGAATAATAAAATATAATAAAACATGCATTCTACTCACATAAGAAAATGTACGGCATGAGCGAATGGTGTCATTGTAGCCCATCCAGCGGTGGTATTCAGGATATTCACCTCTGGTTAGCACATACTGGAAACCAGAGTAGTTGGGTCTTTCATACAGGACCCAGCAGCCACTCTCCACTCTGATAGAGTTGCATCGACTGAAATGAGGGTGCATGTCTGGGCAGTCTGTGTCGCACTCATAGGAGCGACCTTGGAAGTTTCTCTCCTCATAAAAGACAATCTGAAATCAAGAGATGTCACAGATTACAGCAAATTAAACAGACAACTGTAACAGGTCTGTTGTTCTGTTTATAGTCATAGTAGCATTAATTCTAATTAGCATTTCAGCATTAGCAACTGTTCAATCAAATGCTAATCTAAACTTTCCTTAAGAAATGCAAAAATAATGAAGTTATCATTTTTGACGGTTTCATTTACCTTACTCATTTTGATGTGAGCCTCTGGAAACAGTCCTAAACATGAGAAACAGTCAAACAAACTAGGGCACGAGGTCTGCTTTATAAACCACCATCAACATGGTGGATCAAACTTTATTTGTCCTTTCAATGACTGGGACTTGGCATTCTGATGGTGATGCCAACCTCTTAATCCTATCCATAGATTGTAAAGCCCTGATTCATCAAATCAAAATTCCTATCTGGCAAATTACTGACCTCAGCTGCCCTCCTCTGTTTTGATCCAGACACTAATGATATGCTTTATGTGATGGAATTATTGCTTATGACATGGAATGCATCAACATCCAAAAATGTCTGTAACACACCACATGTTGCAGAGTTCAGAAAGTAATAGTTCAAGAATTTTATTGATTACTGTAAACATTGAATCTTCTTTCACATGTCAAATGAAAATGCATGGGCAAATTAATTATTATTTACACCTTCTATTTCTAAAATAACACTATGTATGAACACTTTGGACTAACACTAAGAAAGTCAGTAAAAAGTATTATTGGTATTTATAAACTAAACCTTGTCAGTTGATCTGCTGTCTTTATTATTACCTGCAATGTCAAAAAAAATCAAAAGTTGAGAAAACTAAAAAGTTTAAGGCAACTAGCTTCAGCAGATTATTGAGTTTTCTCAACTTGTTGTTTTCAATTTATACAACAAAAAGTTGAGAAAACTCAAAAATCTCCTACAAAAACAAGAAAAAACCTTAAACTTTTAAGTTTTCTCAACTTTTGATTTTTCACAGTGTGGCAGTGAACAAAGTCCCAGGAAAGAACTAATATTTTACCAATAAGGACAAATGAGGAAAAACCTGAAATAATGTTACATGTGTTTAATAAACAATGAAAATGAATATTTGCTTGTTACAGCTGTTTTCAGTCCTGCAGAGATTCTTGCGAGCCCTCATAGTTTGCGGTTTCATCTTTTAAGGAGTCCTCGCTATCCTGTATTCGACACAAAATATAGGTGCAAAAATTCTAGTACACAATCGGAGCACATGATGCCAGTAATTTTTTTACTTTTTCAGTACATTATATTACTGTATGGGTCATAACAGATTGTGGTAAAATGTTAGGAACAGCTGACCGACACTCACACTAAATGAGGAGCTAGAAGAGGAGGTGGAGGAGGACTCCAGTTTCTCTGGTACTGGAGAGACCTCCTGTTTACTGTGTTCCTTGATCCAGCGTTTCAGTACCTGGGCTGATGAAGAGAGTAAATTAAATACTTTAATAGGATAAAGAAAGCATTTTGTTCTGTTGTTAATGATCACTTTTTAATACTGTATTAAATTAATGGATTTGATTGCTATGAAGGCACATACTGTGTTTTCTTGAGTGGTCCACTGCTTTGAATGAACTGAGCATAGCAAATGGATGATAAGAGAGGGAGAATGGGTGAACAATGTTGCCCTGTAGAGAAAAAATTCAGAAATCACAAAATATATACAAATATATATATATATATATATATACAATGTTTATGTTGTCTTAAGAAAAAGCAAAAATCGAGTATATAAAAGCAATTAAAAATTTTCAAAAGTCAGGTCATATAATGTAAATATTTCATACAAGACGATATCGCATGCGATTTATATACAAATATATATATATATATATATATATATATATTGACATTTTATTAAAATTAGATTGCTTCAATTCAATTCAATTATTAAACAAACAAAATGTAATCTTTCAGAAATTTGCAGAGGCTCCCAAATGGGTCCCTCTTGGTTGAGAACCACTGCATAATGTAAAGTGCCAGACTAAACAACATTTTCAGACCGGATGTATAGAATTCCCATTCTCATCCAGCGTGACATTTGTTCACTCAGGTGACAAACATAATATAATAAATACTGTAACATACCTTAGCATGATTATGAGGGTAAGATGCAACTGGTTTGCAATTGTACAGAGACAGAATGTCTTCTATAGGTAAGCTGTTCTGAAAATGAGAGAACAATAATATGGCTTGTGGACAAAAACACAAATGTTGTTGAAACTGGTTACTTATCCTTACCAGAAGCATTCCAGCAAAGGAAGAAAGGATCATTGCTTCTCTTTCCAGGTGATTAGGGTACTGGCTAATATGTCTTAAATTGCCAATTCCTCTACAAACAACATATCATTGCCAAATGTGAGGCAAAACACTGCACATAAAAATAAATCTATTGCACAAATACCATTTATATAAATTACTCACATGTAGTCATTCTCAGCTGCATTCTTCCCATTATCTTTACTGAGCCACCACAAAGCCACACTTATAGCCAAGTCATAATGGGCCTATATGAATATGCAGATGTATTTAGAACAAGCCCTAAGCTTGAATCTTGTTTTTCCATTTTTTATTATAAGAAACAAAAACAATAGCAACTAATATCTATACTCTCTCAATAAGACAAAGACAAACCTGACCTTTGAAATTAAACTTTCATTTTAATATCAATCACTTACCAAATCATCTAACATTGTAGAAGTGCTTTTTCCCTTCGGATCAAAACCAGTTTCTCTGAGTCGCTGTCCAATATATTCATCACTAAAAAAGTTTTTAAAAGCTTTGTTCTGAAAGTGTGTTCTTACAAATTAACAATTTATGATCACTTTATCCTGATACAGTACAGTGAATTTATTTCATGTTACTTACAGCAAAGTTTTAACATCTCTCTTCACTCGCTTGACCTCCATTTTTCAGACACTTGAAATACTTAATTCTATACTTCTTTATTTCAAGATTTAGTCAGGAAATAGCAGAAATCCCATTAAAACAGCAACATTAGGAAAAAGAAACCTTACAAGTTAAAAAAAAAAAGCACCACGAGTATAACTTTACCTAGTAGTTAATCCTCTGCCAGGGGCAACACTAAACACAGGAAGCAAACTTCAAACTATATTTTGACTTCCTATACGAACAGGAAAAGTGAGATGAACATTTGACAGGATATCTAACACACAAGTGTTAGGTTACCAAAAGCATCTGATGAGATTAACATTTGGAAGAAATTACAGGTTGGGATGCTCTAAAAAAAATTTATTCAATAAAAAACAGTCTGTGACTATAAGCCCATAACATTTGAATTCAATGCATTTGCTTAAAACAAATAGATCACCTCAACAAATAGAAAGTAATCATTTTCTTGAAAACACATTGAAAGAAAGCTCATTGAAACTTACCTAAAACTCAGATACCAACACTTCCTGACAGCACAATAAGATAACTATATATCAGCAGTTTTAGTCTGCTCTCATACAATATAAACCAGTTAAACAGACACTCCTACTCTGTCTCAGAATTGTAGTCGTCTCAGGTGAACAGTCCTCTAAATTATTCATTCAGTCCTTCAATCACTTTAACACTGTTGGCCAGTGCCTGGTTACATAACACACAGACTCAACTTTCCTACATATATCTTGATAGGAAAGAGATGAGGAAATGAACACAGCTGACTTCCATATGACCAGTATGAATGCAACAGAGGGATGGAAAGCAGAATTAACAATAAAATAGAATAGAGCATCTTAATAGAGCAGGTTCTCTTTATTAACCAATAAAATAATCTAAAATTTAAACAATATTTCCTATATATACATAAGAATGAAACTGAGCTGAGATCTGAAGGCAAGTTAACAGCTGTGATTTACTTTAAATCACATTGTGATTACTTTAAAATCCATCTTAAACATTTGCATTACATAAAAAAGACAAAATAAAATAAAATGAAAAACCAAAGGAAAGTCTGAAATCAACAAATGGGAAAATCACTCCTAAACTCGTTTCTTCTTCTTCTTTTTGTCTTTGAACACTGGAGAGTTTAAGAATTTTGTATCAGAGTATTTGTCCCCACGCCTCATCTTGCTGTTGAAAAACAACAACAACAACAAATGAATCAATAAAAAATTATCCGAAATCATAAAAAAAAAAATCTGTATTAAGACAGAAATACATTATATTTCATTGCATTACATTAGATTGTGTTATATCATTCAAGTGTAACTCACCAGTTGAGGGCTGGTTCTTTGTAGGAGACTGGTGCTGCTCTTCTCCGTGTTCTCCCGCAATCAGAGTTATGCCCTGTATTTGTTAGACTCTTCATAACCCTGCCTTCTTCTGTTCGCAGAATGAAAATAAATATATAAGATACAAACAAATATAAGACATATGTGAAATGCAAAAAAGGGAAAAATAAAAATGAAACAGTCTCAAATTCATCTGTATTAAATGCGTACTAATATGTGACCCTGGACCACAAAACCAGTCTTAAGTGTTAATTTTTCCGAAATTGAGATTTATACAACATCTGAACGCTGAATGAATAAGCTTTCCATTGATGTATGGTTTGTTAGGATAGGGCAATATTTGGTCACGAGATACAACTATTTGAAAATCTGGAATCTGAGGGTGCAAAAAAATCTAAATATTGAGAAAATCGCCTTTAAAGTTGTCCAAATTAAGTTCTTAGCAATGCATATTACTAATCAAAACGTTTTTTTGAAGTTTTGATATATTTACGGTAGGAAATTTACAAAATATCTTCATGGAACATGATCTTTACTTAATATCCTAATGATTTTTGGAATAAAAATCAATAATTTTGACCCATACAATATATTTTTGGCTATTGCTACAAATATACCCCAGCGACTTA